GCAGCCATGAAATTAAAAGACACTCCTTGGAAGAAAAGTTATGACCAACCTAGACAGCATGTTAAAAAGCAGAGACATTACTTTGCCAACAAAGGTCCATCTCGTCAAACCTATGGTTTTTCCAGTAGTCATGTATGGATGTGAGAGTTGGACTATAAATAAAGCTGAGCACTGAAAAATTGATGCTTTTGAACTGTGGTGTTGGAGAAGACTCTTGAGAGTCCCTTGGACAGCCAGGAGATACAACCAGTCCATTCTAAAAGGAAATCAGTCCTGAATATTCATTGGAAGGACTGATGTTGAAGCTGAAACTCCAATACTTTGGCCACCTGGTGTGAAGAACTGACTCATTTGAAAAGACCTTATGCTGGAAAAGATTGAAGGCAGGAGGGAAAGGGTATGACAGAGGATGAGATGGGTGGATGGCATCACTGACTCAGTGGACATGTTTGAGTAGGCTCCGGGAGTTGGTGATGGACAGGGAAGTCTGGCGTGCTGCAGTCCATGGTGTCGCAAAGAGTCAGACATGACTAAGTGACTGAACTGAACTCATGGTCTTCTCAGTAATCACGAACGGTTATGAGAGCTGGACTGTAAAGAAGTCAGAGCACCAAAGAATTAATGCCATCAGACTGTTGTGCTGGAGAAGACTCCAGAAATTCCCCTGGACAGCAAGGAGATGAAACCAGTCAATCTTATGGGAGACCAACCCTGAATATTCACTGGAAGGATAGATGCTAAAGCTGAAGTTCCAAAATTTTGGTCATCTGATGCAAAGAGGGAACTCATTGGAAAAGATCCTGATGCTCAGAAAGGTGGAGGGAAGAAGGAGAAAATGGTGTCAGAGGATGAGATGGCTGGACAGCATCACAGATGTAATGAGCATGAACTTGGGCAGACTCTGGGAGATGGTGAGGGACAGGGAGGCCTGGTGTGCTCCAGTCCATGGGGTCGCAAAGAGTCAGATGTGACTGGGAGACTGAACAACAACAGCTGCTGAAGCCACATTCTTCCCAATCAGTTTCATCAGTAATAAAGCTGATATTTAGGTTGAAACACATGTCAAAGTAGATGTGTCAAAGGCTGCAGATGCTAAGCTGAACCTGTTTGAAGGGTTGGGAAAGAACACGCAGCAGGCATGAGTGGATGATGTCAGTGAACTCTCTGTAGGGAAATCATTCAGGTGGTCCAATTTGTAAAGCCATGCACCTTCTTTTGGGCTTTCCTGGTGGTGCTAATGGTAAAGAAGCCACCTGCCAATGCAAGAGACACAACAGACACAGGTTCAACCCCTGAGTGGGGAAGATCCCCTGGAGAAGGAAATGGGAACCCACTCCAGGTTTGTTTTTCCCCATATGGATATTCCACAGCCATTTGTTCAATAAGACTATCCTCCCTCCATTGAATTATCTATACTCCTCTGCTGAATACCCACTGACCACATACATATGTCTGGAAATGCTACTGGACTGTCAGTCTTGTCCCATGGATCCACAGCTCCAGTACTGGACATGCAGAGTAAGCTATGAAATTAGGCTGTGTTAGTCTTTCAGTTTGTGCATAGTCACAATTCTTCTGGCTATTGGCCACTTCTGTTCTCACATAAATTTCAATATTAGCTCATCAGGGAATTCTCTGGTTGTCCAGTGATTGAGACTCTACCTGACAATGCAAGGAACACGGGTTCAATCCCTATTCCAGGAAGAGCCCACAAGGTGCAAGGCCACTAAGCCTGAGTACCACAACCACTGAGCCTGTGCTCTAGAGCCTGCCAGCTGCAACTACTGAAGCTGGAGTGCCTAGAGCCTGTGCTCCATAACAGGAGATGTCATTGCAATGAGAAGCTTATCTGCTGCAACTAGAGCGGAGCCCCCACTCACCACAAATAGAAAAATCCCATGTGTGCAGCAGCAAAGACCCAGCCCAACCAAAATTACATGAACAAACAAACAAATCTTTTAAAAAAGAATCTGCCTCACAATGTGGGGGATATTGCTTCCATCTCTGGTCAGGGAACAAAGGTCCTACATGCAGTGGAGAAACTACTGAGACTGGGCATCGCCACTAGAGTGTCTGTGCACTGCAAGAAGAGATACTGCATGACACAACGAAGTTTCCATTCCCCAGATTAGATCTGATGCAGCAAAATAAAGAAAGTAAATATTTGTTTAAGAAATCAACTCATCAATTTCTACAAAAATATTTGCTGGCATTTTGAGGGAGTCTACAGATGAGTTTGGGGGAAACTGAGGCCTGAACAATATCAATTCTTCTCATCAGAAACCAAACATCTTTTCTTCTGGGCAATAGCCTTCCAAAAGCAGCCGTTTCACGCGCAATAACGATCCCGAGGGGCGCAGTGCACGCTAAGTCAACCCCCCCTTCAATCGCTCCCTCCTCCTCAACAGCCTTGTCTAGAAAGATTGTCTCCTGCAGTTCTGGGCCGTACATCTTAATCACCTCCTTGGTCCTGGCCGCTTTATTTCCCGGGTGCACTGGGAGAGCTCTGCCTCAGACATGCCGTGTGTCTCCTCTGGGGAGCTGATCTCAGGCTGTGACCCTCCTGGCAGATGTCAGCTGTCCAGGATCCCAGGAAGGCGTGGTTAGCAACTGGAAGCCTGCTCACAGTTTGGTGGAGGATGCCATTTCTGGGGCTGAGATGGCTCCTTACCTTCCAGCTATGACTGTCGCACACCTGCCTCTCTGCCTCCAGCAGGGGAGGGGCCGGTCCGCAGCCAGCCAGCTCTCCTTTGTTATTGGCTCAGTCCTTTGTTCTCTGAGGGGCCAGGGCCAGGCTGTACCTTAGGTTAGAGCCTTTCGCAGGAAAGTTCCCTATTTTTTTCCCTCTTTGGCTATCTCACAGTTGGGGTTGCTATCTCATGATAACTCCCTCAGACTGTCATCAGGGCATTCATGCTCAGTCCTTACCCTAAGCATGCAACCCACACCTCCCTATCCAGGCCCTGCTCGCTCGTGGCAGACCTAAGTGTCTGGGCTACTTTTCCACTGGGAGTTGCGGTTAGGCGCCTGTTCTGTGAAGATTTTTTTCCTTTTTCCCAGTTATGTTGCCCTCTGAGATTCCAAACTCCCAGCTGTTTGGAAACTTCTCCTACTTCACGACTCCCTCCCCAGGACGGTCTCTGTCCCTAACTGTTTTGCTTCTTTTTGTCTGTTATATTTTGTCCTACCTCCTTTCTAAGAGAATGGGATGCCTTTCTGGGAGCTTGGTGTCCTCTGCCAGTGTTCAGAAGTTGTTTCATGAAGTTCTTCAGCATTCAAATGATCTTTTGATGAATTTGTGGTAGGGGAGAAAGTGGTTTCCCCTTTTGGACCTCCACCAAAATTCCTCCACCATTTTAGGACCATCCCAGGACCTTATTTTTGACAAAAGAGGCAAGAATGTACCATTGGAATAAAGACAGCCTCTACAATAACTGGTTCTGGGAAAACTGGACAGCTACATGTAAAAGAATGAAATTAGAACACTTCCAAACACCATACATAAAGATAAACTCAAAATGGATTACAGACCTAAATGGAAGACTAGAAACTGTTACAAAATAAGAGGAAAATACAGGCAGAACACTCTATGATATAAATCAAAACAAGAGCCACTATGACCCATCTCCTAGAGTAACAGAAATAAAAACAAAAGTAAACAAGTGGGACCTGATTAAACTTAAAAGTTGGAAATATTTCTCGATTGTCAGCCCTGTCCCATGGATCCACAGCTCCAGTACTGGACATGTACAGTAAGCTATGAAATTAGACTGTCTTGGTCTTTTTATCTGTGCATAGTCACAGTTGTTCAGGCCATCATCGGGCTTCTGTTCTCACATATATTTCAATATCAGCTTATCAAGGACTTCTCTGGTTATCCAGTGGTTGACACTCAACCTGCTAATTCAGGGAACATGGGTTTGATCTCTGCTCTGGTAAGATCCCACAAGCTGAAAGGCCACTAAGCCCGAGCAGCACAATGGCTGAGCCTATGCTCTAGAGCCCGCCAGCTGCAACTACTGAAGCTGGAGTGCCTAGAGCCTGTGCTCTGGAACAAGAGAAGTCACCCCAATGAGAAGTTTATCTGGTACAACTAAAGCGTAGCCCCCACTCACCACAACCAGAAAAACCCCATGTGTGCAGCAGCAAAGACCCAGACAAGCCAAAATTACATAAACAAACAAATGAATCTTTTAAGAAAGAACCTGCCTCACAATGTGGAGCACATCACTTCCACCTCTGGTCAGGGAACTAAGATCCTACACGCAGTGGAGCAACTACTGAACCTGGGCATCGCGACTGGGGTGTCTGTGCACATCAATAAAAGATCCCACGTGACACAATGATGTTTCAACATTCCCCAAATAAGGCCCAATGGGGTGAAAGAAAGAAAGCATTTGTTTAAGAAATCAGCTTATCAATTTCTACAAAAATGGTGCTGGGAAAACTGGACAGCTACATGTAAAAGAATGAAATGACAGCACTTCCTAACACATACACAAACATAAACAGAGGATGAGTTGGTTTGACAGCATAACCCATTCAATCGAAATGAACTTGAGCAAACTCCAGGAGACAGTGAGGACACAGAGCCTGGTTTGCTGCAGTCCATGGGGTTGCAAAGAGTTGGACACTGGTTAGAGACTGAGCAACAACAACAAGGTTCTGGTATTATATCTTAATATATAAATGTAACTATAAAATCGACAATATATTTCAAAATCAATACTGAATGGCAGTACCCAACTTTCTTATTCTCCCACTTCTTACATTGTCTTCACTTATGTTGTTCTCCTTGAATATCTGGATCTCAGAACTTCCCCTCCACCCAGTAGATGAATGCAGTATTAGGAAATGAACAAGCTAAAACTAAAGTCAGAGACAGCACAGTAGCTCAGTTTTATTTTCTTCAGTTAACAGTCACCAAACAAACTATGTGGACCCTGAGCCCCCCCCGCCCAAAACAGCACCACAGGCACAAGCTGAAGCCCGATCAAACTACTGCAGAAAGAAGTGCCCAATGGAAGGACACTTGAAGGTAGGGCACATGGGCAAGGTTTAAGCCCCTCTTCCGTGTGGAGACTAAGCAAAAAGAGGGTGCAAAAAGTGCTTCAAGGTCCACCTCACCAGGGAAACCTGCTCCAGAAAGAAAGCAACAGCTGTGTTGAGCAGGTCATGGTCTTCAGCAGTCAAACGGCTAAAAGGGAGGGAAAATGAAATTCAAGTTCTCACCAAGAAGGAGGAAGAGGAGCATGTCCTCCCTCTGTCCCCGCACACGGACAAGCCCAAAGTACCACACTTCTCTAGGCTTAACCCTCCATGATGGCTCCTCCTGGGCCAAGACTGGTCACCACCCACCACTCTGTCCCTCACCCCAGCCCCCTTTAGAACTTACAGAATCAACATGCGGCCATGAACGTAGAGCTCCCTCCGAACCGGCCATCGCAGTTGAGTACGTTCAGTCAGGAGGTGGCAGGCATAGTCCGCCCGCCCAGGCGATGCGAAAGGCACGGCAAGGCTGCTGGTGGAGATACGGTTAAGGCACCATCCACACGAGTCATTTTGGCTGTACTTCAGGCTCCCTGCTCGCGGAGACCTGCCTTCTCCCACAAGGCCACCGCCCAACACCCTGGCTATCACCGCCCGACCCTCTGGTTCCCTTCAGGTTGCTTTTCCTCACCACCTTCCCCTGGCAGCCAGGCCACCCCTGACCCATACCCTCCAGCCTCCCAGATTACCCTCCTCCTACAGTTTAAGCCCCACTGCCTGCATCCCCCCAAACCACCCCTAGCCCACACCCCGACCCCTGTGGCTGCTTGGCCCACTGGGGCTCCTGGAANCCCTAGCCCACACCCCGACCCCTGTGGCTGCTTGGCCCACTGGGGCTCCTGGAATAGGATACAACTGGTAGACTCGGGTCCTCAGAACTCCGGCTCCGGGTGCAGCAGCTCCACCAGGCCCTGGAACGTGAGGTGCCCCCGGGATCTGCGGAATGGCAGCGGCTGCGCCACCTGACTCTCCGGCAGCGCTGGGCTCTCTGGGATCAGCCATGTCGCCGGAGCCGGCAGGGACTCCTCGACTGACGGTGTCACCAGGGACAGCTGGGTCGCCAGGGCCATGGCGGCCAGCAGCACCACCCGGCACACCTTGGCCGCCTTGTGCTGTACCCGCTGCAGAGGCCACGGCACCTTCATCTTCATCAGCTGCCCTGGTGGTTCCTCCACCGTGTGCCTCAGGCTCCATCTTGAACCGCTCTCCTCCGCCCTCCGTGGCGGGAAAGACTGAACCGTCCCTACAGAACCCACCCCTGTGATGAGACCTGCAACTCAACATCGGCAGAGCGCCTGCGCACACACACCCTGGTCCTGCCTCACGATTGGTTCCCACCAACCATTGGTTCCCGCGATGACTGCAGGCTCTCGGGCAAAACGGCGCCCCCTGCTGAAACTTCACATGTTCACGTGCCATGTCGCCCCAATGTGCGTGCGCAGACGCCCACCCACGTGGTCTGGGCCCTCTGTGTCAGCCCTGCCTTGGGCCCGGAAACCTGGTAAATGGCTCAGCCGTGAGGCCTCTGGGTGACGCTCCACCCTTTAGGGAGGGGGCAGCTCCATACTGTGCCTGCTCAAACAGACCCCTCCCCACTCCTTAGGGCACGTGACTGTTTCCACTCCAAATCTGCAAACCCCAAGTGAGCCCCGGTCCCTATGCACCTCCAAGACTGCACTACTGCCAAGCTGGTGTCGCTCACAGGTGACCATCCTGCTGAGCACAGGTCCTTGTCATTGACTCCCAGAAGGGAGTCGGGCACCCCTGGGTCAGGGCCGGTCTGTCCCTCTGGTGTCTCACACATAGTTCACGTGCATGTATATGCGTCTGTGTGTGTGAGCACATGGGCAGGTGCATGCACATGGGCGTGTGTATGGGTGTGTTTGTGAGAGAGAGCACGTGCACAGATTCATGCACATAGGCGTTTGATTGTGCATATCTGTGTGTGTGCCTGAGAGAGTGCCTTTACACAGGTGCCTGCCCATCGGCGTGTGCATGTGTCTATGTGTGGAGGTGCTTGCACACGGGCATATATGTATTGTCACAAGAGAGTGTGTGGTCAAGCGCATGCACATGGGAGTGTCCCTGTGTACATGTGTGTATGTGTGTGTGTGTGTGTGTCAAAGAGAGCACGGTTGAGATGCATTCACATGGGCATATGTGTCTGTGTGTATGCCTGCACAGGTGCCTTCACATGGGAGTGGGGTGGCCTGGCCCTGGAGGCATGATAGCAGGGATGTAGAGCCTGCTGTGCCTGCCCACCTGAGGCGGGGCCTGCTGTTGAGCTCACTGGGGATGGCATGGGGCTGGGCTGCCTGGGGCTCCAGGCACACAGACTGCAGGGACTCCAGGCTGTGGGCTTGCCCAGGGCCCCTCAGAAGCACCGGAGGAACCGGATACACTCAAGGACTGGGGGAAGGGCAATGTTCCCCTGGACACTGCCCAGTCTCTTGCCCTCTCCCGTCCCTGGTCCCCACCCCCTGGCTGGAGAATCCTCTCAGCCCTCAAATCCAAGCCCAGCAGCATTCCTCCACCCCTATTGCAAGGAGAGGTGAGGGCAGTGCCTGCTTAGGGGTGGGGCATGCCTGTCCCACCTTCCCACCCACCCAGTTTCTCTCCATTCTGGCTCCCAGTCAGTGTGGGTAGACCCTGTCTAATGCCTGTGTCTGTCCCCTGCTCTGTGGCCTAGAGGACCCCAGCGGGGAGCCTGGACACATCTCTCCCTCAGGGGCCCACTGTCAGGTTGGGGGACATTTGTAAGAGCAGTCGTGCTGTAGAAGGGGGCTCACTAACTACGATGGACTAGAGGGCAAGGGGCTAAGCCATAGGACCCACCAGCGTCCTTCCTCTGCCCACTGTTCATCTACACCTGTGCTCTTAATCCGTAGTGATAGCTAACACTTGCTACAGTCCATGCACTGTTTCATGTGCTTTCCATATTTTCTTCCATCAAGTCAGTTTTCAGAAAGTATTGCCATGTCCGTATCCAGTCTCCCATGATGCAGGTCTCCTCCACACAAATCACACACACCCACTCTCTCCCCAACACCAGCGGCTCAAAGTCTTGTGCATTTTGGTTTCTGCATTTCTCAAAATATGATGACCGTAGTGCTCCAGCAGGCACTGGGCTTAAGTTGGGTCTGAATGGTGAGATCTGCAAATGAAAATGATAGTGCCAATGACAATGCGTGTGACAAGAGAGTGACAGAAGTATGAAGGAAAGACACTGTATGATAGAATGAGTTCCTCAGAGAGGTTACCACTGTGACAGGTGCATGGTTTTGAGTGAGTGTGACAGAGGGAATGTGTGACTGGGACAGGAATTTAAAAGGACAGAAAGTGACGGGAAGAGACTAAGATGCATATGATACTGATGGTGGTAGCGAGCCCCAAAGGTGATAGATGATAGCTTAACATGTATAGTGAATGGTGAACATTGCCACCAGATTTGTGGTCTCCAAAGGAAAACATTTAATTCGGGAACCAAGAGACACAGTTCCAGTCACCCAGTAGTTTGTGTAGTAGAAATTTTATTAAAGTGAAAGGGATAGAAAAAGCTTCTGATATAGCTATCAGAACAGGGTAGTAAGAGTACCACATTTGCTAGTTTAAGCAGAGCATTATATACTTTTCTGCTACCTGCTGAGAATAGATAAAAGGATGACTCAAGGGTATGAAAATTTTGCCCAGACCCTTTTCCATAACATACATCTGAGGATGACATCAGCAGGATATTAACCAGAAGAAATGGGTTAACCCAGAGCTCAAGGACATGGAAGTTTTACCCAGACCTTCTCCCATAACATAGGTTCTGAGCTCAAAAAAAGCATGTCCTTGAGCAAGAGATTCTGCTGCCTACCAGGTCTCTGTGTCTAAGGCAAAAGAATGTGAAAAAGAAAGAATGTTCACCTCCTCCTTAAAGAGCCTTGGTCTCCCTAGCAACCTGACTAAGGTAATTTGCTCACAGATACCATGACAGCATGAGTGTGTGGCACACAGAGTGTTAGAGATAGAGTCTAGGAGAGATCGGGTGTAGGGTTAGGGTTAGGGATAAGTGTGATGGAAAAAGCATTATAGAGTGACACGGGAATATGCCAGAAAGAGTGTGTGTGACACATAATCTGACTCAGTATGAGAAAGCAAATCTCAGAGATAATGTGTACGGAAGAAAATGGGTCTGTCACACATGGCAGGGTGTGACAGGAAATGAAGCTGACCATGGGAGGCAGCAGCCTGGGAAAGTGGATCAATCCTCGGGGCCCACGTTTCCCTGAGGCCGGCCATCCCCAGGTCTCCGCCAGTCTGGAGGAAGTCAGCAACTTGATTTGGCTCAGATGCCCAAGCCACGTTCTTCCCAATCAGTTTCATCAGTAATAAAGCTGATATTTAGGTTGAAACACATGCAAGGGGGGTGTGTCAAAGGCTGCAGATGGTAAGCAGGACCTGTTTGAAAGGAGTGGTAGGAGACACACAGCAGGCATGAGTGGGTGGTATCAGTGAACTCCTAGGGGAAATGATTCAGGTGGTCCAATTTTTAAGTCTGTTCAGTTCTCCCACTGAGTTGTGCCTGACTCTTTGCAACCCCATGAACCGCAGCATGCTAGGCCTCCCTGTCCATCACCAACTCCCAGAGTTTACCCAAATCATGGCCATTGAGTCGGTGATGCCATCCCCCTATCTCATCCTCTGTCATCCCTTTCTCCTGTTGCCTTCAATCTTTCCCAGCATCAGGGTTTTTTCAAATGAGTCAGCTTTCACATCAGGTGGCCAAAATATTGGAGTTTCAGCTTCAACATCAGTCCTTCCAATGAACACCCAGGACTCATCTCCTTTAGGATGGACTGCTTGGATCTCCTTGCAGTCCAAGAGACTCTCAGGAGTCTTCCCCAACACCACAGTTTAAAAGCATCAATTTTGGGAGGCTCAGCTTTCTTCACAGTCCAACTCTCACATCCATACACGACCACTGGAAAAACCATAGCCTTGACCAGACAGACCTTTGTTGGCAAAGTAATGTCTCTGCTTTTTAATATGCTATCTAGGTTGGTCATAACTTTCTTTCCAAGGAGTAAGCGTCTTTTAATTTCATGGCTGCAGACACCATCTGCAGTGATTTTGGAGCCCAGAAAA